TATCGTGAACCTGACCGGAGTGACACAAATGCTGAGATCAATACATATGTAAGTTTTATTGAACTGTCGTTTTATGTCATAAAATGTTAATACACATTTTTAAAAAATGTTTGACATCCAATACGTGTATGAAGGATAAGTTTACACTAAGTTATTATCTACGTGTGTACTATTTTCCATTGTTAATATATATATAATCGTTAAATAACATGTACACAAACCGTCGTTAATTATTACCAGTCTTAGTGTCCTGTCATGTGACCGTTGCCTTTACCTTGTTGATCTTTATTCTCGTTGTTTAAAAGATATAATAATAAATTCAATCATTTAAAAAAATATTTCTAATCCAGAAATATAGCTTTTATGGTCGCAACAGTGCTGCTTATTATTATTAAAAGATAAAAAAAAAAGAAAATAAAAAATTATCAAACTGAATTAATATTAGTATATATTAATATTGATATAAAATGCATATTAAAGTAATAATTTTAGAAATCTTACAATTTCTAGTTTTTGTATTTTCATGTGTACACAGATTTTATTCTAATCCATAAATATTTGACTTTGCCTTTATTCTGGACCATTGGATGACTGACAACAATTCACGGCTTACGGGGAAAATTATCAGGTGAAACTCCAAATTCGTTTGCGAAGTATTTTTTATCGGCGGTCATTCACTATTGTTTAGTAGGAAGAAGAGAAAACAGAAACACAATAACGTATACTTATATATTGTGCAGCAAAGCAGAACGTGCCGGCGATATGCACAATTAGGGATGGTACGGATCACAACTGTGAATTTTTATTGACATCCAACCCACAGTTTGACCTGTGAAAGACGGACAAGCTAAATGCGGACGGACGAACAGACGGACGGACGGCGATGACAAAAACAATATGGTCATTTCATGCAGCCAAGCGGAACGTGGCGGCGATATGCACAACTACGAATGGTATTGATCACTCCTATTAAGTTTTATTGAAATCCCGCCAGCAATTTGACCTGTAAAAACCGGACAAGATTTTCTATTGGTAGCCATTTTAGGCAGTATAGGAGAACGCACATCCATCTGGGCATGGAATGTTTCACCTCTATGTAGTATTATTGAAATTCCAAATGCAGTTCAACCTGTGAAAGTCGGACACAATTTTTCAATTTTTAGCTCTTCCGGGACCTCATTTTGTGCAGCAGAGCGAACGTGCCGACGATACACACATCTAAGGATTGAAATTATCACTTCTATGAAGCAGTTTGACCTATAAAAGCCGGTCAAGATTTTTCAAATTATAGTTCTGGCTGCCATTTTGTGCAACCATGCGGAACGTGTGGGCGATATGCGCAACAAAGGGTGGTGCTTATCACTCCTGTGAAGTTTAATTAAAATCCATTATGCAGTTTGACCTGTTGAAGCCGGACAAGGTTTGTCTATTTTTAGCTCTGGTGGCCATTTTGTACAGACAAGCTGAACTTTGCCGGCGGTATGCACAATTAAGGATGGTACTGATCACTCTTGTGAAGTTCCATTGAAATCCTGCCAGCAGATTGAACATTGAAAATCTGACAAGCTGAATGTTGACGGACGGACAGACTGCGAAGGCAAAAACAATATGTCTACCAGATATGTTGGGGGATATTATAATATAAAAGACAAGAATAAAGATCAACAAGGCAAAGGCAACGTTTACAGGACGAAGCCCCGACACACCAAGGTAGGACGCCCAGAAGGCACCAAACCAAAACCTGGAGTGGACATATGGGCGGTGAAAGTAATGGGACATGTAATGTGTGACATAATATAAACTAAAACGGGCCCATATGGGAATAAAAGGGATAAGGGCTGAAAGGTTGAAAAGGGGAAGAGGTTAAAAAATGGGAGGGGTGTGAGAAAATACCTACCGTAAATAACGATCCAACAAGGCAGACATCACAAAACATGTAAACATTCAAAAACAAGTAACAATACAGACATGAAAAACACAAACAATAATCTCACCTTTAGAACTGGATATCCAAAATATAACAATTAAAATTGACTTCGCTATTTTCGCCATTTTAAAACTACTTATTTTATTTAGATGTTTTACTACCTGATAGATGTGTGTGTTGTAAACCAACCTAACAAGGAAAATAAAACATTCTTTACAAAATACACACAAAAGAATAAAACGTGTTAAACATCGTCGAAACAATATTCATCATTAAAGAAATGTATGCGTTTGTCTTCACAATCTTCCGTATGCTATAAAAAGGAATAAGGCATTTCATAAGGCGCAATAAAGATTAATTACATAACGTAATTGGAAACATTATTCTGTTTGAGATGAATGTTAGAATAACCTGAAATAAACGCAAAACTTCCACTTGATTCACATTTTAAGTGTCTTTATTGGAAGATTGTGTGATATTTTATTATTCATTATCACATTTTGTCAATTATCATTCAACTGTATTGAATAACTATCTATTCGAATATCATTTCTCATATTATATCAAATATTTCTCTACTGAAAAAAAGAGAATCAATGCACACGATAAAATTATATTAACGCCTGCAGTTATTTTTATCTTTTTTCCTAGGCCATGCATGGGATTCGAGTAATAATAAGTTCAAATTAGCGAAGTACTTGCAAAAATCACGACGTCACCTATCTCGAAAACGCCTGCACTTTGCTTAATTTTTAACCAGGTTAAAATTATTTTACATAACTTTAATATATTTACAAATATGCAATTAATAAACTGTGTCAAAGATACAGAGAATTCGGAACAAATTTTAACAAATGTTATGAAGACATATCTTATGAGTTTCAACATAAATGCTTCAAATTTTCAACTTCATGAGGAATCTCTGCATTTATTACTCGTAATGGTTTTTTTACAAACATGCATGAGGTTCTTCAGCGTTTGCGCTATATATAGGAGTAAAACATTTTTTAGTGGAATTATTTTCTAACAAATGTTCGGCGCGCAGTAGGTCATCTTTTGAGACTTCTGTGAGGATTTGTAAAATTTGAAAAAAAGTTTTAACCAAACAGAAAATGCATAGACCGGTATGAACATTTCTTAAAAAATGTAATAACCGGGCGTGAAAAAAAAACTCTTAAACTTTATTATCTTTTCTTTAAAATTAGATAAGAAAATGTGTTATATATATGCTTGATTAAGAGATACTCCCCTTATGCCTGCTGCGATAGAGATACGTGGCTATACAAGCAGTTTAATGAGCTTTAAAATATCAGATAAAAGAATTATAAAAAGAAACATGTTATATTTGTAAATTTGATTGTTACAAATTTCATAGGGGTTTCGCCGGGGTTTATCCGACCACTTTCAAAATTTATTTTTTAACTGGAACTAGGAGGCTTGTAAGTTTTAAGTTGAAAGGGCAAACCCCTTAATTTATTTCAAAATGTTTGGGTTTCAAAAGTTCGCCCCAGTTTTATCAATTTCATATTCATATTCCTTTTTTCCCCTTGTTGATTTATAACCTTATACTGTATTTTTAAAAAAAACCAACGACTATTGATAAAAAAGGATAAGCAGTTTTTTAAACAATATGATTTTTTCTTTGTAAAATATTTGACCCGTAACAAGATTAATGTTCGGGAAAAAATAGATCTAGATTAAAAAACAATTACCTGGGGCAAAACATTTCAAATCCCCTTAATAGATGGCCCCAGTAAAATTTATGCAAAAAGAGAAGAGAATAATCAGCAATGGCAAGAGACGATTTTTAAATTGTCTCGAAGGCGTCTAAGTCGAACAAAATAAATCTGTTTATAAATTGCTTTAAAATTTCGCTCAATACATAATTTTATATGCATGCATAGAATGATGCAATTTACTTATTTGAATCTTCTAAGTATAAAGTACATCAAAACATTATTATGTCACAAAGCCTTCAAAACTAGCACTGGCTTTTAAAAGCTAGTACTTTTAAAATTTACTGACATTAAGAAAATATTTTGAAATTATACAATTGCCATTTGTCCATTCATTTAAAGTATATTTTATATTTGAAAGTGTGTTTTGCACAAGATATCAAATTCATTTTCATTTCAAATGAAGTTTCAAGCTTATGTCTCACTTTCTTATGGCATAATTTCCCATGTGAAACATTTTTAGGGGCAAAAACTTCAGTATTGTAAAAGAGAGAAATGTATCGCAATTCACTGTTTCTCAATGAAATGTAAGTAATTATGAAGTTTCTAGACTATTTTCAATTAGTAACAGACGACGCTGCTTGGATAGACAGGCGTTTAAATGTGAGGATGAGTTATTTGGCTACTCTTTCGGCATCCCTATTGTTTCAAGCCACATAGAAGAAACTAGCTACATGAAAGCTTACGGAATTAATGACATAAACGCATTTTCTTTCATATAGCCACACAACTATCCTCTCTAGGGACACGCGAAGATTACACATTTAGAAGCACAAACGTCAGGACGGACCATGTCAAATCTATATCCATCCTAATCGACGGGGTATAAAACACAGCAAGAGTCTCAAAGCTGATACTGGCCAGTTCATAACCTCTTCCATCTACGCAGGCTTTAAAAGTTTGAATTAATTTAATAGAATACCACTAGGAAAATTATTCTTGTGCTTATAGGCAGGCTTTTAACCTTTTTTATCGATCTCAGGCGTGTCATCATATTATTTCAGTGCAAAAGCATAATGTATATCATTGTATCATTGTATTCTTCAACGATTCATTAACTTTCCTTCCTTATGCCATTAAAATAAAACGACACATTCATCTAGCTTTCTGGTTTCTATTTATATCTAACTGATACAACCTTTAGGTTCAAATGGTATCGTCCGTTTTTGATTTAGCGATATAATTTTTATAAGGCACAATTATAAAGCCACTTTATGATGAATCGAATTCATGTTTGACTCAAACATAATTCAATCTCAGATAAGAAATTGATGTGTATACCATTTTGCTGGAGGAATATCGTTACCATCTGATTGAAACCAATGATGCAAATAATTTGACATGTCTTCATAACCTATCCATGATGACCTGTTCAAGTTCAGTTACAAGACATGGGTTATTCAATACACTTTATTTATTTCTTAAAATGAACATATGGCATTCTAAATGGCATATCAATCGACAAATCGAACAGTTAAATAGATTTTGCAAAGCTATTTCAAAACTTAAACCGTTAAAATTGTAACATTTTCATATACTACAAGCGTATACAAAGATTGTACCAGACTTTGAAATTCAAAGAAAAACAAAGCAAAAAGGTATTCAATACACTTATTAACTCATAACCTTTCATTATAATCTGAATATTAAGCATGTATATGACTATAGGTGTCCCCTTCTCCCTGAAAATCATTTTCATTACTTGTACTGACACCTCCATACTCATTTTCATCAGCAGTCTGTATACCGTAGACATTATCTGTTCTTTTGTTCTTCAGAGCTTCACCACTGATGTGGTTGTAATCATCTTCCTCCATGTCGTCAAACAAGTTACCTCTTATACCATCAATGCTTTTATCATGTTCATCTTTCGGTCTTTTAACTGCTTTCTCTGTCGTGTCATATGCATGATTAGTATTATTTCCCTGCTTTAAATTAAAACGCAAGGTGTTGTACTCGTTGCCAGTCTCTTCAGGTCTGGACATTGCAATGTCATTTTCTTTTTTGGGATCCGATTCCTGGCCTTCCAAAATAAAATAAGTGTGCGCATAATTTCCGTTGTCTTTATCGAAGTTATCTGGTGTATCAATGCTCCTTTGCAAAACTGTTTCATCTATCTCATTGTAAGGATAATCAGAAGGAGCTTCGTAGGCAGTATTGGGAACAACAGATACATTTTGCGTTTGTAACTTCCTTTTGGGCGTTGCAATGTTATAACAAATACCTGGAAGATGACCTCTGAAATTGACATAAATTATAGGCGTAAAACAGTTATCTGTCAAATGATAGTTGTTTGCAACTCACATATTAAATGCTTTATCTAAAGCTCGAGAAAAAATATCATTCCTTTTCAAATATGTGGGACAATTTAATGTCTTTATCATGAACTGTTTTTACTGAACTACCGATAGTTGAGGCACAAGGTTTGTGTAACAATCAGAACTGTTAGCAAATATTAGCTCATATGATATGTGTTAGAAACCTGAAGTAAACAAACTACGAATTTGCAATATTTCCGTGGCAAATTAAAATGTTTTTATTCACAAACTTATGGTTACAAATAACATATTTTCGTGCTTTTTGAATTATATTATGCCATATTAATCATAAGAACAAGTCATGTAAATTAATTTCTTTCAATAATGAAATGTAAATTTGATTTTACCTTCTATTTAAAACAAAAATTCCTATGACAATCGCTACTATAACTAAAACCACCATCACGGACATTCCCACGGCTACTCCGACATCTGAGCCTGTTAAAGATATAACATATTTTTGATGCTGTTATTCTATATAACCGACACAATTTAAATGTGTTTGTATCAAACAACACTAAAGTACTAAAATACGAGTTTTAAATAAGTTTGGAATTATATGATTTTAAGAATTTTCCGTTTATTTGCCTCTCACACTAGTTAATCATTTTTCAAATACTGCAACTTTTCATAGACATAATCCATATTTTGCAAAACAAATGGAAATGAAAAAATATCTGTTATTATTTGCTGTTTCTTTTAAGTAAATGAATCATTGAATAAATACTAATAAAATACTTATTTTCGTTTTAAAATTAAAACTTCTCACCATTGGTATCTTCTATAGTTTTGTTGGTTAATGTTCCTATAATGTCAAAATAAAATAAGAAATGGCAATGAGGGCTGAAATATAAGTTTCTTTTTTAATTAATAAAATATTTTATCAATCGAACTACATGTATTGTCATGAATTTGCTAAAAAATTATGTTGGTATTAATTAGAATTTTAGTTTAATTGTAGTTATGATAGAAACTACGTGTATTGAATCTAAAAAAGTCATCTTGTCTTCTAGGTTAGTACACAAGATGTGAATTTCTTTTCCATAAAGATACGCTGAATCGGATTTTATTTCTTTTATGCAGCCAACGTTATGAGTTACCAGTTTTTGTTGTCCCTAAGAATATAGTTTAACATATATCCTTTTTTTTCCGAAAACACATATTTCTTTTTAATGCTATTTGTTATTTGTTACTAGTCGTACACTTATCTATTCTTGTAATGACTTAAGATGTATTAAAAGTTTACCATTTGTACAAAGAATCCTTTTTTCTTTGTAATTGTCTCCAAATTTTAAGACAGTTTCACCGTTTTTCTTTTTATGAAGGTATCCAAACCTTTTATATACATTCGAAGTGACTGCTGCATCTGATTTGCAAAAGAGGACATTGATATAAATATCAAATTTTAAATAATAATATAGGAATGAAACATGACCTTATAATTAGAGTTTTGAGGACGCGTAGATAATAAGCAGAGTCCGTATAAAGACAAAGATATGTCTTTTAATGCTAATTATTTTAAAGCACTTGTAAAAAGTATTATTTTTTCTCACCTTTGGTTAAACTAACTATCCCTTGCGGTCGACAAGTAAAAAGGACGATATATTTAAATAAAGGAACAATGCCTTAAGTGCTAATGTTATACAAACCATAAACCTGGACATGTACTTCATGCTTTATCCTCGACAATACAGCTTCTTTGAAGCACAAAAAGGAAACTAAGTTATAATTTCCTAACCGCCTCATTTGCCTATCTTTATCACTGCGATTTATTCCTGTCTTTATTATTAGGGAAAATAAAAAATGTTGGTCAATAACACTCACAGTACGTCTGTTAGTGTCAGTGTTACACACTTTGTTGCGTATATCTAGCCTTCATAGAATTAATATCAAAACTAAAACTTTACAGACCTCAATAAGTTTGATGCTTACTTAATACAAATATAAATGTGAACATATTGTGTTCTTTGGGCTCATTTTAGAAAAAAAAAACGAAGAAAGAAAAAGGTTCATTGATTGTTACATTCATTTTATCCAGAATTAAATGCCACTTGATATATGAACATTAACAGCGTCAGCTTGAGAACTCATAGAGAATGATTATTTCACACGGCATGAGCATGGACAATCCAATTAGACTGACGATTATAGAGTAACGTCAAGATTATCAATTCATACAATGTCAAGATAATTTTGGTATTACGAATTTACACCGGAAACAGGTTTAATCAAATATACCAAAAAGATCTACTAAAAATGAAAATTTAATTGTGTGTATCAGAACAATATGTTGTTAAAAATCATCAATGTTTGATGGTGATGTGTTGTCACTGTGTAAATCAAAAATATTTCTTACTACTACTGTTTACCACTGTGGTTTCGAAACCCTCCAAAGTTCTTTAAGAGTCTTTCATTCGAGGGAAATAACAGCAAACTAACGGATTTTCAGTGATTTTCTTCACATGTTAAGCTTGGAAGTCGCTAACTGGCCTTAATCGTGTCGTTCCGACTTGAAATACAACAAAAAACAAAAACAACAAATATATACCATTGCTAAATATAACATCACTTGTTATCAATCCAGTCCATGATGGTGTTGATATCTTTATTCCTCCCATGGCGTCAATCGATGCAGGAACCCTTTTGAGATCGAAACAAATTTGCATTGATTCTCTCCAACTTTTGTAGTGAATGTTTCCTTCATTATTAAGTGCATTTTGAACGCTGCCATTATCTAACGAGAACATTATATAGAATTTGATGGTAATAATAGACAGTGTAAAATACATGTATGTAAAGACGACAACTACAAAACAACAGAGACACTTTACACCAGATATCGACCGAAAGCTTGTTGTATTGTGAAAAGGATCGCTTAAACAAATGTTTTAAAAAAAATCCTTTTTTGTACAACAGTTGTGATCATTATGATGAAAATGTCTAGAAATGGGCTAGAAAAAAATATTTACATGATTAAATCAATGATTGAAGTGTAAGAATATTTTCTATATCATAAAGAATAATTATTTAACGCGGTCAGTCATGTAGACTATGAATCCATTTTCAAACACGACATTGCAACCGTGAAAGTATTAATAAACTTTCATGTAATATTATAGCTTTAATATAACACATATCAATACATAAATTGCCTTAAAGTGCCTCAACATTTTTGAAAAAGAACAATTTTTGGATTCTTAGAACATTTATAGTACACGGGAAATTTCAACAAAAAAGGAATCAATAGATTTACTCAGTAAAAGGTGATTTGTCTAAATTTCTTGTGGTAATCAAAATCTAAAAATAAACATAAAGTGGACATCTTGGACAAACCATGACTGTATTATTATGCATTTTGATATTTATATTTTTAACAAGGAAGATCTCGCTTACATCACCGAATTCCTGTTTATTTTGATAGTGTATTTATATAAACTTTATTTAGATATTTGCGTTATTTATTTGAAATAATACATTTCTGATGTGTTTACTTTGGAAAAACATGCTGTAAAATGATAATGACTTACTTAATGTACACATGACACCGTTAGTTGTTCCACACTCTGACCATTTTGAATTCGGTCCTTCAATGTTTGTTTGAAAGAGTAGACATCCTTTATTTCGACCGTATAATTCTGCTGTATATTTGAAAAATAATTATTTTTGAAACGTTTAAGTCAATTATCATGAAAGGCTATGCAAAAGAAAAACTCGTAAAGACGTTTCATAATTATGCTATCCTCGGTTTGTTAAAATACAATCTCACCTGCAGATTCGATTCTGTAGATTGACATATATTTAGCACCACCACAAGCAATATTATTTTGATCCTCACATCCTTTGTCACATTCTTTGTTGAAAATATCTGATTGACTAGCATCATTCAAACAGAAGCACTGAAAGATTTTAAAATAAAATCACCAGACAAAATTAGAAATTACTATAAAATACTTGTAGAAAAGAGCAAGTACATACATCGATCGTAAGTTTACATTAACGAACATCAGACTTTGAAATTAAAGAAACCATGATCAATAAATTAATTTAAAGACATTAAAGCAAACAATATAAATCATAAATCAAGATTATCATTTTTTTAAGTAACGAAATGAACCCAGAATGTAAAACAAAACAACATTGTTCTATTCAAGTACCTTTCATTTTAGATAAAATTAAATGTTCAGTTATGTCTACGTTCTTACTTTTTTCTGGCTAATGCCTACCAAGCCTTTCTTCATGCAAGCTGAATAGCACAGGCCTGGAGTGTTATGGTCAAATTCGGCTTTTACACTCATACTTTCCACATGCAAACAACCTAAGATATATATCATACATATTTAATACTCAACATATTTTAAAATCCTCATCTTTAAAGATTCGAATTTAATGAAATAATCACGTGTTCTTGGATGGTAAAAAAACCGGGTTTAAAGCCTCGGTCTCACTTACACCCGGCAGAGCCCAGGACCATCCCGGTAAGTTACCTGGATGATCCGGGACGATCCGGGATGAAATTATTGTTGCGGTCACACTTACCCCGGCAGCACTACGGTAGTTCCCTACTAACCACCCAGGATGCGCTCCGGATCATCCAGGCAGAGCCCAGGTGAAGCTACGGTTCATGCCGGTGCTTCCCCGGTCGTTCCCGAATGACGCCGGAAGAGCCCCGGTTGACCCAGGCAGAGCCCCGGTCGATCCAGGCAGAGCCCCGGCAGAGCCCAGGACGATCCAGGCAGAGCCACGGTAGAACCCCGGTGGATTGAAAACGCCCGAAAATGATAACTTTGATACATAATTTTTATTTAATATAATATCTATTGTTCCAGAATAGTAATTCATGATGATTTTCTGAAAAATCCTTATGCCATACTGGATAGAAGGGAAATGGGAAGGCTTTTAATACAAACAAGTTCAATCATCACAAATTGTCCTTATTTTTTTGAAATGATCCGGGCTTTGCCGGGGCTCTACCGGGGCTCTACCGGGATCAACCGTAGCTCTACCTTTATCCTCCGGGGCTCTGCCTGTAGTTACCGGGGCTCTGCCGGCATATACCGGGGCTCTACCGTAGCTCTACCGTAGCTCTACCGGCTATATCATACCCCGGATCATTCCCGGTTTGTGCCGGCAGAGCTACGGTGCTTTCCCGGTAACACCCCGGTCGTTCCCGGCAGAGCTACGGATGATGCCGGCAAAGCTATACCTTCCCGGATCATCCCGGACCACCCCGGTGATATTAAATATTTTATTCCATCCGGGGTCGAATGCCGGATGTTCCCGGATCATCCCGAATCATCCAGGACGTTGCCGGCAGAGTTACGGATGTACCCCGGTTGTTCCCGGTCGTACCCCGGTCGTTCCCGGATCACCCCGGACGTCTACCGGGGCTCTGCCGGGGCTCTGCCGGGATGTTAGTGAGACTGTAGCTTAATGTACACGTGAATATATAACCTTAGTTTTAAAACATAAAATAAATCATGTAGAAGCTACTTATGTATTCACCTTTTATAAATGACAAAAAAGTAAAAAATGAGGACACAGATCTATATTTATGATAAGACATTATAGGAATTAACGCTCTCATTTAAAATGAAACTGATAAGATCGAGAAAAAATTGCTTGAATTAGGGTAAATAAATGCTTTTGATAAATAAAGCCAAATTTTAAACAAGTCATTTTATATTTTTCTTATCATTTGTTTCGTTAATTAAAAATCATCAAATTTCAAGAAAAATAATTAATTTAAGCAAAGGAATAATATTTGTTTGTTTGAATAATATTTTTTCCAATCTTGTACTGACCAATGTAAAGGAATGATGCAGCTGCTAAATAGTATCCTACCCAAACATCAACGTTGTCCGCTAAATCATACTTAACGGGTAAATCAGCCTCTTTGCCCTCAAACATAATTGTAGGAGTTTTCATTGTACAATTGTCTATGGCTGTATTCCATGTTGTCTTATATTCCGTTATAAATGTAGCATCTACGATAATTTGTGAATTTGTGTATTAATATTATACATTCAAATCGATGTTTCTAACATCAAAGCAATACTTTTGTGCTAAATAAGCAACGGCAAACTTACAAAAAGAAAAGGAAAAGAAAAACTAATAGCATAGTAAACCCCTATTTTAAACATTTTGCTGTGTACCACTGTACGACTTTCGCTTTCCTTTTGGCAAATGTCGCCATTATGCTTTTGATTTTAGATTTGATATGCTACATGATAGCATTCATATGTTACTATTACATACAAGTTATCTTAATTAAATCAAAATATAAATCAATAGATTAAATATGAGGGTCATTGATCGAGTGTGATTATATCTGTATCTTATATTGATTGTATTTTAAACGAGTACTTTATTGAATGTAGTGATATATTATCTAGTCCTTTATGTGATATGTTCAATAGTATTTTGCATTCAGGATTTTTTCCTGAGAAATGGACTCAGGGTATTATAATTCCACTAAATAAAAAGGGTCCGATAAACGATGTTAACAACTATAGAGGAGTAACGCTTGTTAGTTGTTTTTCAAAATTGTTCACCACAGTTATAAATAAACGCATTGAATCATTTTGTAACAGTAATAGCGGTATTTCGGATGCACAGTTCGGATTCCGAAAAGGGTTTTCAAAAGTTGATGCAATTTTTAATTTTTTGTCTATTGTTCAAAAATATATTAATGGATATAAAAGGTTATATGTTTATGTTATTTTTGTAGATTTGATGAAGTGTTTTGATAGTATCTATAGAAATGCGTTGTGGTTAAAATTGTATAAATCAGGTGTTAGAGGAAAAATACTTAGAGTTGTTAGGGATATGTATGAAAATGTCAAATCATGTGTTAAGTCATGTACATCATATTCGGATTATTTTCATTATTCTGTGGGCTTACATCAAGGGGAGGTAATGTCCCCGATACTATTTTCTTTGTTTGTAGAAGATTTATGGCTATATCTACAAAATGATATTGAATGTGGGTTATGTATTAATAGAAGATATTGTACTTATATTACTTTTGTTTGCAGATGATATGGCTATTTTAGGTAAATCTCCAGAAGAAATTCAAACACATTTAGATAATTTATTTTTATATTGTAATGCTTGGGGTTTGAAAGTTAATGCGTCCAAAACAAAAATTATGGTTTTTCGAAAAAGGGGCCGTTTGCGCCAAAATGAGTCATTGACCTATGATGGCCATAATGTCGAGGTAGTAGACAATTTTAATTATTTAGGTTATAAATTATAAGGGTAGTTTCACACTGAACCAAGAAAATTTGGCTGGTAAAGGACTTAAAGCTATGAATACTTTATTATTTAAATGTAAAATATATGACTTAAAGCCTAGAATTTATTGCCAATTGTTTGATGCTTTTGTTGGTTCAATTTTAGGGTACGCTTCTGAAATATGGGGTTTTACAAAGTCTAAAGAATTAGAACGCATCCATTTGAAGTTTTGTAAACGAATATTAAACGTTAGGTTAAATTCTAGTAATGCAGCTGTATATGGAGAGTTGGGAAGATATCCGTTGTATATAAACCGCTATGTTAGGGTACTTAAATACTTTAAATTTTTAAAATCAGCTCGAGTGATAACATAATTATAAGATCTGTTTATAAAATGAGCGCTAACGACTGTAATAACGGTTATACAAATTGGGTTTCTCATGTTAAGAGGATGTTAGATAATTACGGATTCTCAAATGTATTTGAGAGCCCTAGTTCTGTAAATGTTAACGCATTTATTTGTGAATTTAAATGTAGAATGATAGATACTTTTAAGCAAGAATGGTATGGAAATATTAACACAAACTCTGTCTTGAATATGTATAGAATATTTAAAAGTACACTTGATTATGAAATATACTTAGATTTATTACTAAAGAAATTACGCACTTATTTGGTTAAACTTAGAATTTCTTTGCATCCCTTGAGAATACAAACAGGGAGGTATACTCGTAATAATTTACCAAGAAACGAAAGATATTGCTTATGTTGTAACACAAGAGATATTGAAGATGAATTCCACTTTATCTGTATATTTAATTGCTATTCTCAAATAAGAAAGAAATATATCAAACGTTTTTATATTGTCAATCCATCTGTTTTTAAATTTCATGATTTGCTTACATCTTCAAACAAAAACGATATTGTTAATTTGTGCAAATATATGAAAGAGGCATTTATCATTCGAAATTCATTTATAAATGATATGACCTGGTGCGCTGTTGTATACTTATTACCTTACTGTCTTTGTTATACATGTATGTAGTATATGTAAATATATGTTAAAGTGCATTTGAATAAACTTTTGTTATATGTTCTAGATATGTGACATGTTTAACATTGATGTTTATGTATTAAGATGATATACTTATGTATAAGTCTAATAAAATGTCTGTTCTGTTCTGTTCTTAAAAGCGTATGTCATAAATTTTCTTTATACAAGATCTAATAATTTACAACCCTGATATTTTACAGCGTATTTTTATGTTCTCTTTTTTAAGACGATATAAGTGTTTAATTATATTCAACATGACAAAATTTTACAAAACAATGTTAATGAATGATTACTTAAACAGTCTTATATCCTAAACATTTTCGTACAAACTGATCTTTATTTAAATTAATTAATATATAATTAAAAAAACAGAGCAAGAGATCATATGCTGAACGTTCATTATTTAAGGAGGAATGAGCTTCCGTTTTAGGTTCGTGACAAGAAGTAAAGGCTGCTATTACTATAAAATGTAAATATTTATTTACAATAGTTTTTTTCTATTTATGATTATAACTTAAAAAAGCCCCACAAATGCGACCGTTACAGATGTTCATTAGATTAAATGTAAATGTTTTACCTGCGTCAATTAAAATCCATAGAAGAAGATAATATGTTTCTAACATAAACCCCATTCCGATACTATCTATTTTACACAGTTTGTACCTTCCTGTTTACTAAAATGTAACTATATCGTCCCAGTTTTAACAGGATACACTTCAGTGTTACATGTATAATACTATCGTTTAAACAATAATAAACCGTAAACATTTAGGTATGAATGTGTATTCACTGTTTAATTTGACTTAATGGTTTACACTTTGAACCATTTTTTGTATAAACGAGTAAAGTTATTTTTTAAAATTTTGCTTACCTTTCCAATGACTTGCCTGGGACAGCGTGTCAATTGTCGTATCTATTTCTTAGTTATTTGCAACTCTTTAGAATAAAAAACCAATCGTAATGACTTTATTTCAGTACAAAAAAGACTGAAACAATACTTGTTTTATTTAATTATTTAATTATAAAACCGAGAAGAGATTGCCTAGGAGTTAAGTTTACTACCCTTATTGAATGGGAGCCCTATACGCTTGGAATAACATTAAATTTTATAAAGCATGTTAAATCACATGGTACTAGAAACACTGTAAATGCTGTTTAATTCAATAAAAATATCATTGAGCATTTAAAATTAAGCTTTAATCTTATGCCCAAATAACATATTCTTTTTTGCGAGTGATCAGTCTTTTTCGAGATTTTTATCAAAGAATTTTTATATCGTATCCTCAAAGAGTTAGCCTCCGGAAGATAACAGAATAACTTCCGTCGTACAACTATTTAAAAATCCATCTTCAAAAACGTTATAGAGATGAAGGAAATCGAAATAACACTTCAAAATATTCCTATTTTAAAATAATTGCTCTGAGAACAAACAGTTGGTTTTTCTGTCAAGGAAATACCTTATTGTATTATCCTACGGATTTCTTTCATCAGGGATTTTTTTCTAGTACCATGTGATTGTACATGACAGTATCGTGATCTGTAGTCCGGAACGTCCGAAATCCGGGATCGTATCAAACTAAGAGGGAAACGAAAAAATGCTTCTGTTTTGATAGTTGTAGTAGTTTGTGGCACTTAAATTATAATTGATTAATTATATCATATATTTGATGACCAATGTACGGATTTAAACTTAAGCGAAAGTTGATATACGATCACGGGCGTACCGTATACCGAGATTTTTCCGGATCACTGTTGTTTAAGGTGTCCAACCAATTATCTTCTCCTATTTATGTTTGCCATCGCGTTAGTAACGTAGTAGATTATGCAAATGAAAACATGATATGGTCACTTTCTCTTGAAATTAAATTGCATTTTTTATTTTACCATCTTGAGATTAGTTGGTAGTGATCGTCCAGCACAACATTATTGTTGTGTTAAAGGTACTTTTGGTGTTTGCTATTTGGCTTTTTTTTTTAAATTGGTAGATAGGTTAATCCTTGCTTGAATGCAGTGTTATCACCCTGCAATAATGCTGCCTGCGTTTTAAATTTGTGTTTGACAGCGTTCTGTAATATGAAGGCGTCATAATCTCAGATTTCTCTTTTAAATTTTCATAATATTTAGTTTAGCCTTTGATGTTTTTTGTTATGAGCACACAATTTTTTATGGGGACCATCTGCAGCTTTTCATACGATCTCCGCTGTATGAACAGATCTGCGGATATTTCAAAATTCAAAATTTTATGTTCTCATGTAAAATGTGAATTTTTTCCGAGGCCTGCGCTAGGGTGTGTGGGGCTTGCACTTACCAGTACCATTCAGAAACAGGAACACTTAATTTGGGTCTGTAACAATTTCAATTTTGCCGTTTTGACGTTCTTAAGGGTTTTCTCTCTATGTTTAACCTACAAACTTTTACTTTTAAATTATACCATTTGATCATCTCTTAAACATTCCAGAAACATATATTCAAATTAATTGTAGTTCAATTAAGAAAAACATCAACATGACTACATTATTTGACCAATAATACGAAAAAAATCAAACAGTTATTCACCTTAGAAATATTATAGCGTGTTTGAGCATATGTCAAATATAAAAAACAAACTACATATATAAGGAAAATAAGAATATCGTGGTAGTATAAGTTAAATATATCACAATCATTCCCAATATTTTAGGTAGAGGTGTTAAAAATATGGCCTCTGTTCGTCTGTCAATCACATTTTTGTCACATACTGTCATAGAGTGGCTGTTTTCTTGAAACCTTAAACATGAAAATATGGAAACTAAAATAAGTGCAGTGACAATGAAACGTTATTCTTTTCAGTCATGTTTTGTAAATAACACCTTTTATAATTATCTTTTAAACAATTTATTTCCACGACCATAAGTCGAAAACTAAACATTTATGGAATATAGGTAAATGTTATTGATAAAGAACTGTATCTCTATCTGATGCTATACTAATTTTCCCCCTTCATTTTCTTAACCTAGTGAACAGCTAAATGGTAATACTAGTTATTATCCCCCGCCGATGGAATCGGGAGGGGGATTTAGTTTTGGCGTTGTCCGTCCGTCCTTCCGTCCGTCCGTCCGTCCGTCCGAATTTCGTTTCCGGAGTAGTTCTCTGCAACAACTGGCTGGAATTCAACGAAGCTTTATGGGAATCATCAATATCAAGAGGAGATGCGCATATCGTCGGCTTGTTCCGGTCCGACCCTTTAACTCAGAGTTATGGCCCTTGATTAGTTATGTATATGCATAGAGTAAAAATCGTTTCCGGAGTAGTTCTCTGCAACTACTGGCTGGAATTCAACGAAACTTTATGGGAATCATCAATATCAAGAGGAGATGCGCATATTGTCGACTTGATCCGGTCAGACACTTTAACTCAGAATTATGGCCCTTGATTAGTTATGTAGTATGCATATAGAGTAAAAATCGTTTCCGCACAACTTCTCTGCAACTACTGGCTGGAATTCAACGAAACTTTATGGGAATAATCAATATCAAAAGGAGATGCGCATATCGTCGGCTTGTGCCGGTCCGACCCTTTAACTCAGAGTTATGGCCCTTGATTAGTTATGTAGTATGCATATAGAGTAAAAATCGTTTCTGGAGTAGTTCTCTGCAACTACTGGCTGGAATTCAACGAAACGTTATGGGAATCATCAATATCAAGAGGAGATGCGCATATCGTCGGCTTGTTTCGGTCAGACACTTTAACTCAGAGTTATGGCCCTTGATTAGTTATGTAGTATGCATATAGAGTAAAAATCGTTTCCGCAATACTTCTCTGCAACTACTGGCTGGAATTCAACGACACTTTATGGGAATCATCAATACCAAGAGGAGATGCGCATATCGTCGGCTTGTTCCGGTCAGACACTTTAAATCAGAGTTATGGCCCTTGATTAGTTAATATGCAGTATGCATATTGAGTAAAAATCGTTTCCGCGCTACTTCTCTGCAACTACTGTCTGGAATTCAACGAAACTTTATAAGAACCTTCAATACCAAGAGGAGATGCGCATATCGTCGGCTTGTTCGGGTCAGACACTTTAACTCAGAGTTATTGCCCTTGATTAGTTATGCAATATGCATATGGAGTAAAAATCGTTTCCGGAGTAGTTCTCTGCAACTACTGGCTGGAATTCAACGAAACTTTATGGGAACCATCAATATCAAGAGGAGATGCGCATATCGTCGGCTTGTTCCGGTCAGACCCTTTACCTCAGAGTTATAGCCCTTAATTAGTTATGTAGTATGCATATAGAGTAAAAATCGTTTCCGCACTACTTCTCTGCAACTACTGGCTGGAATTCAACGAAACTGTATGGGAACCTTCAATACCAAGAGGAGATGCGCATATCGTCGGCTTGTTCCGGTCAGACACTTTAACTCAGAGTTATGGCCCTTGATTAGTTATGCAGTATCCATATAGAAAAATATTTGTTTCCTCGCTACTTCTCTGTTACTACTGGCTGGAATTCAATGAAACTTTATGGGATACTAAGAGGAAATGCCGCCTTGTTTAAGTCAGATACTTATAACTCAGATTTATGGCCCTTGATTAGTTATGTAGTGTGCATACATCTCATTGGCATTTCCAGATTTTACTATTTAACACAAAGTTATGGCTCTGTTATTGCCCTGAATATTTATCAAGTTCAAAGAATATTACTGTTTATGCCATGATTAATATATAAATAAAGCCTTATGTCTTCAGTTGTTGTGTTAATAATAACCAGTACTCGGCGGGGGATATAAATTCAACGAATTTGCTTGTTGACTGACATACAGATGTGCAGTTACCAACAACAGTAACTTTGTCTGGTTCTTTTTCAAATAACCTCTTTTTTGAATTACGAGAAGTGTTCAATTTATTATAAAACACGCTGATTTATATTCCAGAGCATCTTTTGCAATAAAACACATGCGAATAAATAATTAAGCAGGTTTTAAAACTGTTTCATAATAAACAAGTATATGTTTTGATGCTAAAGCAACAAGTCGCCGGACAGAAAAATGATTGTATTATCATTAATATAATAAAACATCAGTTTAATTAATGATTCAAGCATAAAGAAAAGAGGAACAATATGTTGAGTAACTGTTTATTCACAATAAAACATATGTTATTATATACGATACAATCATGAAATAGAATAGGTCTCATAAGATATAAACAACCAAATAATTTATAAGTGTCATTTCAAATATCATTCATGATTTATCGATCATAAAATAGCAACGATTGACACTTAGAAAAAAAAGTAAATGTATCCCTAAATTCAATGACTGGTCCATAGGGATACATTATGAATTCATTTTATGAAAATTGTAATATTGCTTTTTAAGATGTCAATATTTGTATATTTTATTTCATTGAGCAACGTTATTTTGTGTTTGAATATTAAGATAATAAAAATTGATTGTGGTCCATAATTGTTCAATAATTGATTTGCTTTTATATTCAGATTTTAAGGCCTTTTCCGACCATAGATACATTGTATAATATTAAACTGTTACAAATATAGTCGCCGGTTTCTACCGGCGACTAATTAAATGCCTTTCGTATTTTCTTAATTTTTCTCTATTTGTCCAGAGAATAACTTAAAACAAAACAGGGAGTGTACTTAATATAATAGATAGATATTAAAAATTCTAAATCAACAAAGGACCATCATTCTATACTATCATGCACTTTTCTTTAGCTTTTGTTAATTTTGAAATACTTTTGAAATGCAGAAATGCAGGGGCAAAAAAGTGATAATGCCTGGTGTTTTTGTTTGTTGTTGTTATTGCTAAATATCCTTGTACTTACTTAAATAAAAAAACATACATGTAATAAATTCTAACTTTTTTTATTATCAAAAAATTGTATTATTTCATAGGAAGAACTATCTAGCAATTACTTTCTTTTTATGTGATATGTTGACAATTGTTAATGAATCTAAATACAAATCATTCTATACTGTTAAAATCCATTAACTGATTTATTAGAGAAATAAGATAGAGCATTTAAATATAAATTATACATATATTAAATATTTATCCTCCCTTTATAAGTTATTAAAAAAGGCATACAATGTTTTTGTTTTTGTGTTAATAAATGTCTTTTAAGCTCTTGACATTTGTGCTTGTATAATTATACGTGTCTTAAAATCCTTAAGTTGTATAATTGTAAGTGTCGTCTTCAACATCCTGAGATACATTTGTATGATTGTACGTGTCTAAAACTGCCTCAGCATCCTGCAATATATTTGTATGATTGTACGTGTCTTCAACATCCTGAAGATATTTTCCGTGAATTTTTCTACAGTTTGCATATTCATCATCTTGTGTTACACCATAAACATTATCTGTTCTGACAGTTTTCAGTTGTCTTTCGCCTTCATTTAAATGATTGTAAGGATCTTCATCCTGAAGCGTTTCATTCGCATCGGAATCATCCTTAACTCTGTGTTTGGTCTTCAGTTTCATAGCTGCTTTTTCTGCTGTATCGTATGTATTGTCAAAGTTAGCCTCTTGTTTTACATTGGACGCTAATGTGTTATACACATTTACTTCATCTTGAACTACTATTTTATTTTTATCAGCTTCAGTCTTTTCAAGAATAAAGTAATCATGTGGAAGATGTCCGTTATTTTCCAGGACATCATCTTCTAATATAATGTTTGTTTGTGGAACAACTTCGCCAATCTTTCTATTGGGACAATCAAGAGGTATTGTGTTTGAGTTGTTAACTAAGGATGTATTCATTGTGCATTTTGATTGTTTGTCATGCAATGGTATTCTGCAACACATACATGGAATCTTCCCTCTGTAGACAGAACGTGAATTTATTTTTAAATATCATGGATTCATATTGCTTTGAATAGTTTAAAAACTAAAATTAATCGCTAAACTATAGAATCTTGTTAACAATGTGTTTCGGCTCTTAGAACAGTTTTGACATTCTTCGTTTTCTCTAGAATCACAAAATAAGGAGTTAGATTTGATACAGATATACAATATCATGTCACTCAAATATAAGATGACTGAGGCTAGAAAGTGCTGAAATCTCCACTTTTCACCCGCCAAAATGCACTTAAAGATGCATAATTCATCTTTTTACACCAATTTACATACGATCGAGAATGTAAAATGTAAGAATTTGTGAAAAAGCGATATGTTTTTTCTACTTAATGACAATGATTTCAGCAAGCGTCTTGATGTAATGCTCCAACAGTGAGTTAAATCCACATACGATAATGAGACTGCGTTAATAGTTACTTTAGTGAAACAAGTTGTACTTTATTATATACACTATTCCCCCGCCTCGATCGCATTCCGGAATAAACATCGATTTCTTTACATATGATATAATCACTGTATCATTTGATAATGATCTATTTATGCTTTTTTCTCGTTTACATTACACTTGACAAAGTAGACATTTTATACCGCACAAAATATTATGTGACCATTTACTTAAAGACAATTAGTAAAATTCGTTTTTTAATAAACAAACTCTATCTAAAATCGAAAATCGTTTATAGAATCATATTTTAACATCACGAAGTATTAATATCAAGATGATAATGAAATTTACCCAAAGGAATGAAAACTTAGTTACAGATATAGCTTAGATGAAATAAAGATTTTTTTACAGTGTTACCTTTTTATAAGTATAACTCCTACAATGACAGTAAAAACGATTATGACACAGGCAACTGAAACACCAACAGGAATGCCAATATCTGAAGCGAAAATAAATTATAGATAGGATAAGTTTTAAAAGTTTTCTATCAGTTTTACGAGTCAAATTTGAAAATAGAAATTATTTTCTTAAGCATCATATTTACCTTTTGCTACACTCTCTTGTTGTGCTTTTGGTTGAGTATTTTTACCTGGCGTCGTTATTTTTGTTGTAGTTTTCTGACTAAATTTATCATCATCTGATTTTTTCGTTGATCCTGTGGTTTGTTTATTACTTGTCATTGCTGTTAGTTTTTCACTTGTTGTTTGAGAAGTTGTTGCTTCCGTTGTTATATCTATTAGTAAAAGAAATTTAATATAATGGCGTTGAAACAAAAAATTATATGATTAAAATTAATTGTGAGGTAAAAGATTTATTTATCAGTTCGCACCAATATCATATAACAGTTTACTGTAGAAACGGGCACAGATATAAAATTGCCGAAAATAAATGATACCTGATTAAAAGCTATTTAATCTGACTATACACATTTCTGTTTTGTTTTGTAATAACATATTTAATCTTAGACTAACAAATTCATGCAGATGTTTTTCAGTGCATAAAGAAGTAATTTTACCATTTTTACACAGGGAATATCTTTGGATTGTGCTGTCTCCATTAAATTTTAATACTGTGTAATTGCTCTCGTTTCTTTGAAGGTAGCCAAACCTTTCCGGCGTTATGTTTGGAGTTTCATGATCTGTTCAAAAAATAATTAATAATTCATCATACTAGAGATATTTTAATATACACATACCACACATCGGTAAACTCGATACATGTTTATGCGCCTAAGCAAAGTGTAATTTAGCAATTTAAGAATACAGAAAACAAAACAATACCTTGTCATTTACTACAATGGCAATGATTTTTGTGATATTTTCCAACATTAACAGTTCATTTTTAATGATTTCTAGAATCTTTACAGAAACACATTTTATTATTATATTCATCATGTTCATGTAATGTAGTTTACTGTTGTTTATTCTCATGATCGTTATCTACGTGTGATTAAAACTTTCTTCAATATATTTCTTAACAAAATAACTTACCTCTTTCATCAAATTTACATTACTCACCGCTACTGTATATAACGTCACTTGAAATGACACCAGTCCATGATTCTCCTCGGTCAGTTTTTCTTTTAAGAAGCTCAAGATCGTTTACCGATGTCGGATATTTCGACAAACTAAAACATTTGTTCATAGCACGCCTCCATGTCTTCGTTTCACTTTCGTTGTAGTAATATATTTCATGAAAAGACGTTTCATCTGGTAAACAGTGGCATATAATATTACAACTTGGAATGGCAAGAATGTTTGACATGTACATGATACGTGTATTTCGTTTAACTCATTTTAAATTGATATTTACAAAATTTCCTGTGTATTTCTAGATATTTATTTATCATAAGTTTATTCATTTATTTGCTTTTATCTTATTTACATTATCTAATCCTTTCTGTTTGTGTTTAAAGGAGCTATCCGATATAAGTATAAATCTACAATTACATGTATTTTGGATATGAAAAAGAAAAAAAAAATACTTACTTAATGTACATATGATCTGATTTAATGAATTGCATCCTGCCCAGTTCCATTTTGACAGTTCATTGTTGGGCTCATATTGTAGACACCTCTTATTTCTACTGAAGGAATTTGCTGAAAAGTGAGTATTTTATGAAGAAATTGTAACTTTTATATAAAAGAACTACAACTTCAACATCTTTATTGTAGATGTAGATATAATTACGTTTACATAATGTTACGACATTAACGTTTTGACCGCTAAAAATTATACACACACAAGTACTTACGCAGAACATGTTTTAAAGCAATCTGGTCCGATTTGATTCGCATTTTCCTATCAGATCGACGATAAATATATATGTATAAGTCATTTTATCCTGATGTGCAAATTATGTGGTATGAATTTTATACAATGGTTCAAGTTAAGATGTAAATATCTCACCGTACGATTCATAAGTGTAAATTGAAATGTAGTTGGTGCCGCCGCAAGCAATATTGCTTTGAGATCTACAACCTCGGGTACAATACACGTAGGTCCTGTCTGGAGGAATAGTCTTGTTAAGGCAGAAGCACTGAACGACAACAAATAATTTTGTAATAATAATCACACTTTTGATTGCTGGAACTATTTTAGTTTGTCAAAATATTTACAATAACGAAAATATGCATTTGGGACTAATTGTTTACTCACAATTTGTATTTGTACATGAAGTTTCACACAATAGGTATATTGATAAATCTATACAAATTGTCTAAAATATGCCGTAAAATGTTAATCTTTTTTCATTGTTACTTACTTTAGTTATTTCAAAATTTAAAAAAAACGAACAACCAAAGACCAAATTTTGTTGTTGATTTTTTTTTTTCTAGAAATATGTCTTTTTTTCTTTTAAAATCGATCAAATGTGTTTAAGTTGTACAAAGCAGTTCTTTTTTTTTTACATCAAAGACAATCATACAGTTATCAGTTAACCTATTATTGCCATAAGTAATAAAAACAATGTTTGTATATTAAATCATAAATAAACATTCTTGTTCGACAATATAAAGTAAGGCCTACTTTTGACTCGCTGACACCTATCATATATGTCATGTTGCATGCAGAGTAACACAATCCCGGAGTGTTGTATTCAAACTCAGCTATTGCAGCCATATTTTCCTTTTTTATACAGCCTGGAATTTTACGAAATAATTTTACAATTTCAAGTATTTCACAAATTTTATATCTATTTATACGTCATCCCTGTGTCAAAACACGGTTATTAAAACTTTTGAAAACCTTGTATTTAAAGAAACTGAACAATGATATGTAATTCAGCAACATTCTAGCAACCTTAAAATTTATCGAGGACTGTTCAATTCAACAACTTTGCATAGATCCTTACAAGACCTTTATCAGTCTTATTTGTTTATAAATTACTTTCATTTTCACTTTTCTTCATTTCATCTTAATTAAAACAAAAACACAAATTTAATCATAATTTTTCTTTTATATTTACCAACATAATGGAAGGCTGTTGCTGCTAAATAGTATCCTACCCACACCTCTTGGTTTCCAATAACAGAAGCATTCACGGCTACTTGTAAATCTTTCTCTATTCCTCTGAACATGATTGTAGGCGTTTCAATTGTGCAACTACTAATTGCATTTACCCAAGTTGTTTTATATGGTGTTATAAATGCAGCTCCTTTCAAAGCAAGATACAATGATGCTATAAATTTGCTGTTATAATGCTACCATTAGGTCTTTAGTGTTGTGTTGCAGTTGTAAAATGTAACATTATATTTTCTATTTCTTTTGGGATTTTTGAATCAAATACTGATAGATTTGAGACTGAATACTGCTTTAGTCGGTTCAACGGTGTGTGGAAATTTTTGCACTATAAATTATCTTGCATCAGAGATAATAAAGTCGCGTCAGAGAATTAAAATAATTTATTTTTTCTTTATTTGTTTTCACGAATATTTTTTTATTGTTTAAGTATAATTCACCGTTTTATTTTGTGAAGAAAATGATCTTAAAATACTGAATAAATGATGCATTTTCACTACTTTTTCAATCATATCAAATGAAAGATGACAAACAGAAGTTTGTCACGTGATTTTTGTTCATTTGCTCACTTACCACAATTCAGGCTTTTAAAATGTTTATATTTTGTTTGTATTGTTATTGTTGTTGTTGTTTTGTCTATTAAATTTTCGAGAACAAAGTGATATTTTCACATATTTGCGATTTTGCAGTAGTTCTTCTGTTATAAAAAATAAGCATAGCTGACAGATACATGTATGTCGATCATTTTGATTATTTGAAATAAACACGTGTATCTAAAAATAATTAAAAAGTCATTAATCACATACTCGTGCCGCTTTTGCTACTCCTTAAAAATATTACTGCACATCCGTGCATATATTTTGACGTGATATCATTTGCGTTATATGAACATAGCGTTAAGATGCCCAAAATGTTAGCATTATACTATTGGCCCTTTCAATGAAAAGTGGTTCTTTCTCAACTCAAACGGCGTGTGATTATTAGAATATTTAATTCGTGTAAGTTCATTACTTAATTTATTGAACTCGTTGAATAATGTAATACTATTTATTGAACTCGTTGAATAAAGTAATACTATGCTCGTCGCCAGAGGCTCGCATAATATAATTTTTATTCAACTCGTTCAATAATTTCAGTATTAAACTTACACTCATTCAATAACCATTATCTAACCCATTATTTAACTTTAATTACAATTATTGTCCACAAAGTCGCTAATGCGAAAGTAGACAGGCCAGATTTCATTCAAGAAAGTCTTTGTGTTGTTTTTCTGCTTTTAACGCTATATAACACATTTTAGGCATATCTCGGCGGTTGGTTAAGCATTAAATCTTTCCCAGATAACTTACCAGAAATTACTAATTTCACTGTAATTGACTGACTTTTTATCCTACATGATTTCTGAATCAGGGCGAAAGACAACTGACAATATAACTCATGGTCTGAGTTTAATTGTTATGGAGAAATTTCGCCTCGCCCGAGGATCGAACCAGCCCCCCCCCCCCAAAAAAAAAAAAAAAAAAAATAAATAAATAAATAAAAAGTGAATGACTAAATAAATAGAATAACTAAATAAAAAATAAAATAAATAAACCGGTGCTCTTCATATTGTGCGAAGGCAGGCGAAACAAGGATGTAATTTCTTTTTGTTTTGTTTAAAGTTTCAAATCATATGTTCGCACTGTCAAATAATTGCAAATATTTTTATTACTTTACATTTACACTCCACCATTTGTTTGCAATCATTAAAAGCAACGAGTTAAAAATATATGTTGTAAACTATACTTCATAAATATTGGTTTTATGAGGGCAATAATTATGTCAGGTAGTATTTTAGCAAACTGATAATTTTATATTTACAGTACAATTTCATACATGTATCTTAGATATACCCCTTACATTATAATAAAAAAAAAGATAAAACATAAATTAATTGCGATTTACACGCCTTCCGTCATCTTCTATAAATTCTCACCAGACACACAATAGTAGAAAGTCATGAAATGAAAGAATACATACAAAACGGGAAATTGCGCATCCGATTAAATCGCCATTGTTGATGTATGTAAAGGATACACATACTTTTGAGCCAGAATATTTAATACACTATTTAAAACTTGTTTGAGGCTAACATATGAAGAACAACATGTAATTGTCAATTAACAAAACAACCGATTAAACATTTCACATCAAGTGGTTATTTTCAAATCCATTAGTGTCATATATTCATCAGGTTTATCATGTAAAATGTTCAATTTTAGGCTGTTATAATTTGTACTTAACTCTATGTGGAATAAATAAATCACAAACGTACGCCAGCCTTACAGAAGTTTTCACATTTGTACTTAACTCTACAAATTACTATTTTAATTATTATACTTATGTTACAAAAGGTTATACGTGTACTTAAATATATGAATTACAAAATACTATAATGTAAAAGATAAAAGAAGTTAATACATTACCTTTATATATGAATATCCAAAATACAATAATTAAAACTATGTCAGCCATTTTCGCCATTTTCAAACTGTATTCATATTTTCTTTATTTTCACTTCCTGGTCGGTGTGTGTATTGTAAATCAACCGGACAAGGAAAATAAACATTTTATCTTTGTAAAGTGTTAACTTTTCCTTATATTTTATCAAGAAAAGAATTAAATAAAACTTGCAGTAGTTGTTTTTACTTATTAAATTTACCCTTAAAGCTACACGCCTCCAGATAAGACAAAAATCTAAAGGAATTGAAGTTTAAAGGAAATGATCTAAGAATAAAAGTAAAAGGATTCAAGATTAATGTACAAATTTATATGTTATATGCGATTAATACCCGATTTTGCAGTATAATTCACCATAATTCTATTGCATGACTAACGCAATAAGATATTTTGACCTCTATTCTACAGTTTACGCGGATTGTTAGTAACGTTTACAATGTATTAAATTTTTTCTATGTTCCCCTTACACTATTATACTTAGCGTGAAGCTAGAGGCATGCTGCTTTAATGTATATAGCATACTATCAGGACATGAATGCCGGGCGCTACTTTATTCTCTCTATTCTATGTGACATTTTCTCAATATTATGTGCTTTGATGTTTATAAAAATTCAGAAACTGCTCTTAAAGGGACTCCACTGAGGTTTTTTGACATGACGGGACTGGAAATATTTCATTAAGATTATTACTCCATTTGATGTAGGTCTATACCAACAATTTATGTGCAAAATTTCAGATCATTAGCTCGCTTCGTTTTTCCAGAATAATTGTTTTAATTGTCAAAAATAACCTAAAATTGAAAAGCGTTTAAATGCTTATCACTCAAATCTGACTGAGAATAACACAGACATACGATTTTCAGTGCATTTGTAGGTATATTTCTTAATTATCGTTTGTATTTATTTCCGTTTTAGGTGCACCAGTTGATCTATGTGAGAAATTAAACTTTCATGGTGTTAGGCTCAGAATCTCAGAATCTCAGTGGAGTTCCTTTAAGAGTAAATAGGTTGTCAAGTGTACGAACTGTAAGTGCCAAGCCTAAGGCACAATATTTTTAACCACAAAACATTTATAATTTGTCAACGTACGCAGAAATGTTCCTTAATCTACTAGTAACTTTAATAGATATTTTACTCAATACATTCTAAGTTTTACATCGGTTGTGAATATTATTCATATAATTTGCAAATAATAATTATTTGAACTTAAGTCTGATGTTTTGTATTTTACTCATCTAGAGGCGTGTCACTTTAAATACCAATCTTAAAAACAATGTAACAATCATAAAAACCATATGACATCCTTACAGTTATATAACACTCCTAATTCTAAAAGCCATCCACATTATATCTCCAGCCAGTAAAAGTAAAGAAATTGTTAAATAACTCGTTCTTCTTAAGGAATAGCACTAGAGCGTGGTGACAGCTTCGTAGCTTATTTATAGGTCAAAAATGGGCCTTTTCATTTTATAAGATCTGATATGTTACTATCCTGATTATAATTGTACGACATATTTATTCAAATTTGTTTGTTTTCAAGTTTACTAAACTCATCTTTATTTACTGTTCAGAAGGTTTTAGATTTATGTCTGATCAGGGTCCGAGGCTAAATTTCTCAGCTAAGGTATTTTGTTTGTCTGAAACTAACATAAAATGGGCACTGAACTGACCAATGGAAGTCCCGCGATTCCACAAATGACTCATGAAAGTCCTGAGATTCGAGACAAAGCTCAGAAGAAAACGTTTATAAAAGGCAATTACCGATTGGTTTAATTCTATTTGAATGGGTTATTTTGCCTGTAAGCAACACACTATGGTGCAGAAACTTCGACATGTTTTAACAACAAACCAATTATACCTATTTCAGTTTTAGTTTCAAGCAATTATTATTTCAGTATCTAGCGAAGCGAAAAATGTAACTTGCCTCTTTTCTTTCTTAATATTATTTGTTTTTCAAAGTGATACACATTGAAAATACAGATTGTTGATCAATACTATACCATGTCATTGGAAACAACTCTGTATTTTATCTTTTATTAAAGATAACATTGAATATCAGTAAACTAAAAAATATCTGAAAACATAAATATTTGCTATTAAACACGTAGATACCCAACACATTCATTAGATAATAACTTTTCTTTATTTTGTAAATATTAAACGTGGATATGATTATATGGATCTCCGTCACCATGTTGAGCATTTCCATTATTTTTTCTGACATCTCCATACTCGTTTTCCGCACCACTTGATGGTAAACCGTAATCATTATCTGTTCTTTTGTTCTTCAGAGCTGCATCACTAATATGATTGTAATCGTCTTCCTTCATGGCGTCAGAATTGTTACCCTTCATATCATCAATGCCGTTATCATGTTGATCTTCAAGTCTTTTAACTGCGTTCTCTGTCGTGTCGTATGCATTGTTAGTTTTGTTTCCACGCTTTATATTTGAACTTATGGTGTTGTACTCGCTGTTACTCTCTTCATGTCTAGAATTAGAAAAACTATTTTCTGCTTTAGGATCAGATTCTAGGCCTTCCAAAACAAAATAAGTGTGAGCATAATGTCCGTCATTTCTAAAGGTATTATCTTTTGCACCGCTGTTCTTTTGTAAAGTAGCATCGTCAATCTCGTTATAAGGAGAATCAGAAGGTGTTTCGTAGGTGTTATTGTGAACTATAGACAAATGTTGTGTTCGTTGTACTGGTTTATTATTTCTTGGCATTTTAAAACGTATGCCTTCAAGTTTTCCTCTGTAAAAAACACATGCAAAATAATTAAATATCTTATTACTGTCTTTATATATTAGCTCTCATGACTAATCTATCATAATATCGCAAAAGACACTATTGATATTCTTAGTTTTAGGTCTTTACAATCGTAACAATTTTTGAGGTTCTGAACAACAAATGTTTTCAGCATAAACAATTTGACACAAATAGCATTGGTTTAAACAATCAACTTATATTTATTTTTTCGGTAGATATGTAAACCATATCCATATCTTATTAATATGTGTTGTAATCCGAATCGTATGTCTTGTGACATATCACCACCACTCTTAAATATTGTTGTTTTTTTAAATCATCAATTATATGTACATGATATTCTTTGCAAAAGGAAACAGATTTAGAAATCAAATATTACCTTCTTTATAAAATAAAAACTGCTACGACCAGGGCTACTATAACAAAAACCAGCATAACTGAAACGCCAACTGCTAGTCCGACATTTGATTCTGTTGTAGACAATACATAATTATTATGTTAAAATGATATTCTTTTATAACAACTACACATACCTTTTACTGAAACAATATAAAGTATCTCGAATAGTAAGGAATATTTTAAATATTAATTACACATCACTTACTGAAAATTCTGAACATTTTGGTATCATCTAAAACATTATAATAAAAAACATTTTCAACTTACTTCACAAAAGTAAGGTATATAACCTTTAACTAAGTGTTTTTATTTCACCTTTAACACTTTCATTAATAAAAATTTAATTATTATAACACAATCAATGTTGGCTCAAACAAGTATGTTTATCTTCATTATCTAATACTTTTGTCACAAATTTATTGTCAGGTTATTTCTTTTCCTGAAGAATAATGTTGAATAAATACTTAATAATATTACCGTTCTTTCACTTACCATCGGATTCTATTTTAGTTCTTCCTATCATATCAAAATAAAAGAACAACAGTGAGAATAGTTTCTGGCCTTGAGGGGAATTGGACCTACAGCTATTACTTGCAATATTCAACACATGCTATAAAAGAATAGCTGTTCTTTTAGAAAATCGTCTCAATAAATTTTTTTGTGTCTCAATAACCAAAAAAAAAAAACAAAAAAAAAACAAAAAAAATCAACCAAACAACATTTTAACTTATAAGTAATATTTCCAAACATTTGAGAGTAGACAATTGCCGTCCGTAAGAAAATAAATAACACCAATCATGGTTCTATCTCATGAAGAACATATTTACTTCATCAAATTTGCAAAAGTCCTTTATAATTATTAATAGCTTTAATTAAACGTTCTATGCCAACAAAAATTAATTGCATTTAAAGCTTTAAGAGATTGTACACATATTTTCATTTGTGTTATATTCATTTTTATTTAAATGTGCTATTAAGAAAGAAAAACTAACCGCTTGTACAAAGGATTTTTCTTGATGAAGTGGTATCGTTGTCAAATTTTAACACGATTTCCTGTCCACTTTTCTTAAGATAACCAAATTTCTCTCCGGTTTGTCTTGTAGCAGGATCTGCAGAGAAATGCTTTGTAGTAAAAAAAATATTAAAGGCAAAATCGAAATGAATAAAAAATTTTCATTCAAGTAATATTATATTCTTAAATTGTTGTTATAAAATATGTAATCTGTGGTATATAAAATGAAGAAATGGAAGATATATATGATAAATAATATCGATTTATTTAAAAGTAACTGAAATGAAAGTAATGGTTTAGCTCAGTTTATTCACCTGCTTATCACTGCTTATTTACAGTCACTATGATAAAAGTAGAATTGCTTCGAACAAAAGGTATGAATGATAAATGTTAAAGATATAATATGTGTTATTTTAATTTTCAGGTGAAGAGGATATAACATTATCAGTTATTACTGTGCAGAAGTTGTAATAAAATGTTATATAATTATACTATCATGTGTAACGAAATAAAATATAAAGTAGTCAAGAGAGTCAACCATTAATTGAATAAATGACATCACTTGAAATGACTCCTGTCCAAGACGGTGACAGGGATGTTCGACCTTGCAAATGGTCTAGACTTTTGACAGTTGTTGGATGCTTTAAGTTTTCCAAGCACAAGTTCATAGCATCTTTCCATGTTCTGTGAGGAAGCTCTACACTTGATAATACTTCAACGGAACCATTATCTAAATAAATGTAATGGTAAATTGAAAATGAATCTAGCAATGAATGTATTGCAAAATTGTACAAATAATATCTCTTGTCCTTATTTGTTAAGTTATACAATGATTGCTATCTTATAAACATATTTTGGTTAAATGTATCTGTTTTTTG